CAAAACTAGAGAGAGGGTTAGATTTATTACATTGCGTTATATATTCATTATATTGCAGGCAGCAGCCAATCAGTATTAAAAAGTCAGAACTGTTTTTTGCTACAAATTAGTTATCTCGTCTTACCTTCATCAGCATATTTAGAGAACATCATATAAACGTAATTGAGATACAAACATTTTTCAGGCCAGAATTTGAAGAACGAAATTACATATGTTGTTAAAAAACAGTTTCCTTCCTGACATAAAAAGTTTGGGTAATACGAAGGATTCTTTGGGTTAATCCTCTTCCATATGCCTTGGTCCCAATTCTAGTAAGGTCCAGGGTTACTATTATTTACGACATGATAGATTAAAAATGGCATTTATCAAGTAATTAGGCCCTAAGACTGCAGAGAGACCCCTCAGTACAATGCTTTTTTTATTTAAAAATAAATATCTTCATGTTGCAGATTTTATACAGCTGAAATGTCATTTACCTTATATAAAAGAATGTGAGGCCTGTGCAATTCTTTGTTTAAATTTCATTGAAGATGGCAAGGGGGAAAGAATGACACTGCGGGTCTTTAGCATACATCTTGCACATACTTCAGATAAGCTAATTACCTCTTGGCACCCTCTCTCTTTATAGTTATAAAATATGGGGGTGGGGAACTGAGGCCTTAGGGCCCATATGACTCCCCCAGAGCCCTGTACATGGGCCTCAGGGATTCTCCAGCTGAGCTGTAGTTTTTAACAAAATTGGAGAAGAAACATAGTAAATATGGGAAGACTTATATATACTGCATTGAATTAATTTGGTTTAAATTCAGTTTAATTGAAATGCTGCTGAATTATTTTTAACAAGCTGGAAGGAGAATCATTAAATACATAAAAAGTGAGATACATTCTAGTTAAAATTCAGTTAAAATGCTGCTAAATATTGGTAACGTGACAGACCAAAAATACAAAATACATGGAGAGTTATTGACATTGCATTTAATTATTTGGTGCACATTTCAATTTGATTATCCTGGATCTGCCGACTTTCTTGACCTAATTCTGTCCATATTTTAGAGTCTGGTGCTAGCATGCCATAAAAACCTAATGGCAGCTCTCTCCTGAAAAGACTATTTACTCATCAAGGTGAAGTAAGTATCCTTAATTATTTTAATATGAAAAGAGGATACTATAGTTATTCCAGGTTAATTAAAACCAAGTATATATTAATGTTATATTAGACTTGTTTCTTACATCACATTTTACAGCCATAATCTATGTAAGAATAACAGATAATTATCTTGATACACACAGCCACAATATATCCCTTATAATTCTGAAGCATGGATACACTCGATATTAGAACCTAACTAATTCTGATGTGATGATTACACAGAGAAATTAATGATCAAATCTTTCTCTGTGAAATTTGGTTGCAGAAAAATCCCGGGGATTTCTAGCTTATTGCAAAAGAGCATTGGCTGTCTTTAGATGTGTATTTTTTTTTTTTACTGAGCCTGCTACTCAGAAATTAGTTTTGTCATGGGTCACACACCCATGCTAATAGGAAAAATGTTTATTTTCTTGTGTCTATATGTGAGATTTGTGTAATTTGCACAATATCCCAATAGATGTATTATGTGTTGCCTGGAGTTTTGTAAGCAAAAATCTGGAAAATTTGTCAACTTCCGTCTGCCTTAAGCTATCTTTGTATCACGCCATTAAGAAAACTATTTCATGCATGTGATAAGACGGTCCATTAAAACTTCTACAATAAACACGATTTTTAAGCTTACGCAAGACAGTTACATCTTGGATAAGGAATCTTAATCACATCTTCCAAAACTGCCAGTGTTCCTTCTACTTGTTTATATACCTTTTAGTTAGTTTTTTTTTTACATATTTCCAAGTCAGGCTTAACTTTAGTGAACCTTTTTCCCCATGGGAATGTTACTGTTCCCAATAGGAATCCAGGTATCAAATTAAACAGAATATTACTTATATGTGTGTGTGTGTGTATGTGTAAGTATGTATGTATGAACGAATGAAACTGTGGAAATTTAAAGCCCCTCTGCTGGGAATAACAGTATAAATAACTGAAGACATTTTGTAAACAGTGCGGTCATAACCTTGAAACGTTAAACAGTTCTCTGGGATCTGGCGCATCAGCTGCCTCTGGACTCAGCTGCCTCAGAGGAAAGAGCCCAGCACTTTCTGTTTATCTCTTCGCTTAATCTCTCACAGAGTAACAGATCAGATCAATAGAAAGAATGATGTTTAAATTAAAGCCAGGGCACCAGGAGAGTGTACAAGGCAAGAATATCTTCCCATCCAAATGATCCCATCAGTGTTTTTAAATATTAACATACTGCCCTGGTTCCACCATCTTACCTGTAGGGAGGCTCTGGGCCTTGATGAAAAGGGGAATTATCTTTGCAACAAGGCTGCACTGCTAATGGACCCCACCTTGAGGAACTGAGTTCTAAATCTGTTTTCAAGGTTGTGTACCCTAAAGAAAGGAACATTTGAAAATGTCCTTTTATCTTCCAATAATTTAAATTATTCTTTGAGGATTAATAACAAACTCCAGGTGATTTGTTATCCAAATAGGGATGAGCAGTTGAAGATTATCCTTTTCTAAGCAAAACTGTATAATGTACACGTATGACAAGTGCTTCCATACTACTTTCTAAAACACATGTATTTAGCATATATGTAGCCTTGCATCATCCAATTGTTAAAAAAAAACATTTGGAAATATGGCATACCTTATAATTTTATTCAGGGTTCCAGCAGATGACAAGTTGAGACACCAACGTGACTGAATGCAAAGGCACCAGATGTTCTTCTTATAGACTTCAGCAATCCACAAATTGGAGATAAGGGTTTGTAGTGGGAGCCTGGTTTGTAATGTCCCATGGTTTGTACGGAGGCATGCACATGTGCATGTGGAGATTGTCAATATAGCCCAGCCAGCCCAAATCAGGTGGTTAACAAAGACAAGAAATATGTCCATTTTAGTAAAACAGAAGTGTTGGGCTTCCCTTTCCTTCAGTTTAAAGGATGTAGACCTGTAAAGAGGTAAAGCTTGAATTTGTGGTCCTACAAAGAAATCATCTTGCCTTGACTGTTTGGTTAAACCAGATAAATAGAAAGGTGGTTTCATTTAAAGAGTATTCCGAGTTACCAAAAAATCATTTCTGGGTTTCTTAATAAGCATAGATATTGAAGATAACCTGTTACCAATTTTTATGAAAGCATTAATTAATTAATTAATTAATTTTATATACTTATTCAATTTCTATAGCCGCCCAACTCAACCAAGTAATTGCCCCCAACACTGCTGCTGATAGCTCGGGTCTGCCTATCTCTCGAATACTATATTACTATATTAGAGTGGTTGACAAAAAAGAATGAAAAAAACCCTTAAAGCAAAATATTTCAGCTTTTGCTTTGTTTGGATATTTTGAAAGGATATGGATGACACACTATCTGAATGGCAGAATAAAGCAAAAGTTCAAATGTTTTAGTGTAAAAATGTTATTTGCATTTTTGCTCTAATCTCTGATTCATATATAATTTAAATTATTAACTGCATCCTTGTGAGATTCAGAAAAAAATTATTTGACCTGGTTGATACTTTTCAAATAATTCATTTCTACATAATTTTTAATTTTACAAAAAAGCAATCCGAACTATATACAGCAGATCTTCAAGCCGCTTAGCTAAAAACAAATACGCTGGGATGTAATCTGGACGTATTTTTTCTCATTTTGTGTCTGTTATTTAGGAATGTATAATTTAGAACTGATACAAACTTCCAAAAAGTTACTTAAGATCATCATATAAATCCCCTGGAAATAAATGAAGTTAACAGGAAAACCTTCTGAACTTACCTGGGATTTATTTCCAAGTATAAATCAAATCACTTTAATCCTTCAAACACCCTGCTTCAAATTTATTGTACTGAAAGAAATTGTACCTACCTTCATTCAGCATTTTTCTGTTTTCAGCCTTACATTGACAGTGTTTAGAAAAGACATATTCCATGCTAACAGTTCATTTGTATAACTTGTAAAAAATTCTATAAAACTTAGATTGTCTGGTATGCAAAGACATTATAAAACTGTCTGCCTTCCATCCTTATTGTCTTTTCAAACAACCCATTTTAAATTAAGACATGAATAATAATGTCAATTCAAATGTATAGATTGAGCTACACATTTTGCATTGTTGCTAATTTCACAATCTCCCTGATTCTTAATTAAATTATTGGAAATGTGACAAACAGGTTGCTTCCTTCTTTCTTGAGTGAAACAGCCATTACATGCTGTTTTTCTAGCCATCTAAACCTCCCCCCAAAGGATACGGTCTACCTCTTCTTAATTAGGAAAATAAACATTTCATAATCTGAGGTCAAATGGTTTTTGCATTGTGTCACTTTAAGATTTGTAAAATCTGCTCGCCAAAATAAAATAAATAGTAATCCTCTCTCTTTTTTTTTGAAAACAAATGAAAAAAACCCCTACACACCACATTGCGCTATTTTTGTTTTCCTGTTGAAAAAAAAGAATTATACAAATTATAGCAAAATTTGTTTGAAGAAAATATATTCATAGAATATCTTTAATGTGTATTCTTTTAGAGAGATGTGATTTCAGAATAATTGATTCTAGGAATCGCCGTCTTTCACAAAGTGGAGTACACAAAGATAGAGAGTTGCAAATTCTGGTTGGATCCAGAGAACAGCACTTGGACCAGCAAGGCGGTTGCTGCAGGATATTAAAAATATATATGTATATATATACAAGTTAATAAAGTTAAATATATGTTCTTTGTGATTGTTTCAGTTTCCTTTGGCATAGTACATTTGGTCTTCTTTTCAGTTTTAGGATTTGTTTATTCCATGAGAAAGCAGTTCGTTGCCTCCTTGAAATGCCTCCCCACCCCCCATTTGTATACACAATGCACAAATGCATTCGTCCACAGAGAAGGTTGCTTTTCTCATGCTTGAAAATCCTGGGTCAGGAGGCAGTAGGGCCACACAACCGAGTTGTGTTCACTGCTTCTTTCAGCTCGTTCTCTGGTTTGCCAGCAATCATAAAAGGCCATGTCTGTAGCCAAGGCAGAAAAGGGGGTGGGGTGGGGGGGCAAAGGAGAGGAGGAGAAAGAAAGGACGAGGAAAGGAAGAGAGAGAGAGAGAGAGATCAGTGTATTTCAAATGGCGCAGTTCTTGAACAGTAATAAACAAAGCCATAGATAACCCAGGTGTTCTTTCTAAACAATAGGAAGAAGTGGTTAGACTAGACAAGTCTCGCTACTGAGCGTAACCAGGTTCTCAAGATGGCTCCACCGTATTGCCCCATGCAGCTGCGCAGTCATAATATGTTTTGCGCCATAAAGATGATTTTTTCCCTCTTTATGTTCCTCATAATTCTCTGTAATCTTTGGGGGTGATAGGTCATGTTTTATTGATCCTAGATACCAGCATGGGTTACATCTGATAGAAAATGGTATTTCTCTCAAATATATATAATGAATGCAGCCTAAAAGGGCATATTGTGGCAGACATCTTTTTTTTAAAAAAAGCCCCTGTCTATTCTTGACTGGGTAATGTCAAAGCATGGCTCCCCCTTCACTTTTGCTTTGTTTTGAAAAAGATAAGAGTACTATCTCCTCTAAAAGCATTTTGGAATTGGAGATGGGGGTTTCTTCTTGACTATGGTTCTGCTGAGGTCAGAAGCCTCACAAGGAAAGTAAATTCCAGTTCTATCCATTTCTTATGGGCGACAAAGACAATAACCGCAAATCACCTTGTATTCTTTTTTTTAATGTCATGAATGCAAACTTGCTAGCAAAATAAAATCTGTGTAGATTATCTGTACTGTGGTGGCGAGAATTATTCATCATCGTCATGCTATTGTAGTAACTAATCTCAATGGCTTTTAAAATTAAGTAAGCATATACATGCAGTAATGATATAATAGCAAAACCAACAACAAGGTCAACCATATATCAACCCTTCTCCCAAATCCATCAGTCAAAACAGATTGGGGTTCTGAGTTTGTTTTGCTTTCAGTAGCGGTTTTTATATGTTTACTGGGTATCACTTTGCTAATCATAAAGTAATAAATAGAGCCTCAGCCCTTTGTTACTAACTAATTAACCATTAATACGAATATGAAAATAACTGTTTTACATACAGGACCACAATAAAAGTAAACTATCAGATAAATTAGAAAACATAGAGAAAGAATGTAATCTCCCCGTCAGATTTCTTTCCGATAAGGAGGGTTCAGCCGATAAAATCCTGAATGGAAGTTTTTTGTTTTTGTTTTTAATCCGAGTTCCCTCCCTCTAGAAACGTTTGCGTTCGTTTCAGCCATAAACTGGGTCTAAACGTTTCCCTCTTTACGATCAACTCCTTTGCTAGAAATAACGGGATCTTCAAATATCCACTTCCTAACACCCCCCCCCCCGTCTTTTTCCTTCCTCCTTCGTGACCTACAAACGGATTATGGCCCTTTTCGTGATGGAAGTCGAGAAGGTGGTTGTAAATCTGGCCCTCCCACTCCCGAAAAGCCATAATTTACGGGTGGGGGAAAAAAAAAAAAAAAAAAAGATCCTGACGACGAGGCCTGCGAAAATAGACAGAAAAACAAGAGGCTTCTCTTTTCATTGAAAATCCGTTGTTGTCGTTCAGTACTTTTTTTTTAAAAAAAAGCGGCGTAGATTGCGATTTAATAGCGTTAACAGTCGCAGTTGTTGCAACAGTACTAAACGTAGTAATCTCCAACACTTGGCGGATAAACACGCCGAAATCAGATCCCGCCGACTGACGCCGTTAAGTCAATAAATCGGGCTATTTTTCCCCCCCCCGGATCTGATCAATGAGCAGACTTGGTGAGCGAAGGGCGTGACGGCTCCCTTCAGTTATTATTACTAAGCGGCCCGGATAGGGGGGGGGGGCGGACGGGACGGCTGAAAAAGAGTTCTGTGGCGCAATCCGATTTCCTGATTCCGATTAAGAGGACGATAAAAAAAAGAAAAGAAAAGGCGGGAGAGGGCTTCCTTTAAGAGTGATTATTGATTTCGTATTATTTATCTATTTATTATTCTGCCCACCGCTCCTGCGCCTTTTCGTCAGCGCTCGGGACAAACCGAGCGCCGAGACGTCGGCGCGCGGGGAAGAGCCGAGCGCGCCAGGCGGCCGAGCCTTCCCGCCCCGGCGTCCAAAGCTCCCCGTTGCCTAAGACGACTTCGGAGACCGACTTCCTCACGAGCCCCCGAGAGGGGCGGCCGGACACCGGCCATGGTTTTTTTGGGCTTTGCTGGCCGCAGGATTGGAGGGAAGGGGGAGCTGAGGGCGCCGGGAAGGCGCGGCGCCAGGTGCGAGCGGCGCGGCGCGCGTCCTTCAGGCCGCCGTCGGCGCGTTTCCCGCCTCCCGAGCGCCCCACTCACCAGATTGACCGGGTGAAGGTAGCCGTTCTCGTACTTGTCGCTGGCCAGGATCTGCCTCAGGTGGGCGATGTAGCTGGAGGCCAGGCGGAGCGTGTCGAGCTTGGAGAGCTTGGTGTCCGGCGGCACCCAGGGCAGGGTGGTCTTGAGGCGGGAGAAGGCTTTGCTCAGCACTCGCATGCGAGCCCGCTCGCGGGCGTTGGCCGCGTTCCGCTGGACCTGCTTGCCCTCCTGGCCCGCCGTTCCCAGAGGGCTCTTCTTGCCCGGCGCTTTCTTCCGCGCCTTGCCCGCCGCGCCCCGGCCTTTGACGGGAGAACCCCGCTCTCCGGCCGAGCCTTCGGCGGGGCTCTGGCGGGGGGCGGGCGACGAGCGGCATCGGTCCATTTTCAGGCTGCCGGAGCAGCCCAGTATCTCCGCCTCGGGAAGGTCTTCGGCATCGCTCAGCGAGCCCGTAGACATGGCCTCGGGCCGGGGGCAGGGAAGGGGAACCCGCCGCCTGGGGACCCCCGCTCAGCCTTCTTCGCCTGACTCGGCGAGGGCGAGAGGGAAGGAGAAGCGCAAGTTGATGCGGAGCGCCCGGGAGGCATTTATCCGGGGGGGGGG